CATTATTCCGGCTGTTGTTTTGCTTTTCTTTTTGTCTGAGGATCATGAAAGGGACGCCCTCTGCTGGGAATATGTTGTGCCAGCACTGTTTACAGTTGAAGACTGCCAAAAGACTTTTTGTTCTGTTTTTTTCCCTCCTCCTGGCTGGATTTTGGTCTTCCTCCAGAAAATAACTTATTTTCGATCAAACTTATTTAGAAATTTAATCAGTTGTATCTCGCTTGTTGTTTTTTCCAGACTTTTTTGATCAAAAATAAAACCGTTAAATTATGACCCTGAGCATGTCTTGGCATTTTAATAAAGGTGCTTAATCATAATGATTTAGGGAAAATTCTTTTAAATAACATTGTTTTCTCTTGAACTTTAAGTGCAGTCACTTTATTGATGGTGTTTGATCATAATAATCTAGAAAAGTCTGTAATATAACAGTGTTTCTTTGTAAAACACTTATTGGCTAACTTTAGTTGAACAGATGTGATTCTAACAATCTAGGAAAAGTCTGTAAAAAAAAGTGTTTTTCTGTAAACATTTTAATGACAATATCTGTAGAGTTATTTTTTGCATTTTATTTCAACAAAGAAATTTTACCGTACTTTTATGGGTTTTGTTTGGCAGTTATAGCTACTGGTCATTTGACCTGTTTTTTTACAAATATATATATATATATATATATATATATATATATATATATATATATATATATATATATATATATATACACAGAGCAAGTAATTACAATTTATTAGTTTCATTTTACGAAATTTTAAATTTACTTAAAAAAACAGGAAACACTGTAAATAATACGGGAATTTTAATGTAAAAAACAGACAAATTGCTGTAATTTGTCATTACTTATATAGTACATCAAATAAAAGTCAAGCTGTTAATTTACAGATGTTGTTTGTAATTTTTACGGACTTTTGTATAAAATACTGTATTACTAATACTGTAATTTCCCAGTATAAAAAAAACAAGAATGTCAGTAATTTGTCTTTAATAATAAACTAAAATGAAAGTTAAATTGTTAATTCAGAGAGATTGTCATTTTACTAAGTTTTGAATATAATTTGAAATTACAAAATTACTGTAAAAATATTGAGATTTTCTGTAAAATTAGTTTTTTTTTTTGTTTTGTTTTTTTTACTGTGTAAAGCATTATTAACATCCAAATTCATGTTTGGTTACATTAGTTAATGCACCATGAGTTATCTATTACCAGTAAAAAAACTTTATTTTCATTGACTAACAAGCAAATACTTACTGTTACCAATACTGCATATCAAAACAATATTGTTGAATGCTGAGATTTGTACCTTTAATTATATTTTGTGTGGTAATTTGATCCAGTTATACAGAATTGTATTACATAATCAGAGTGGCTTCGTCTTAATCTGCTCCATTAAATTCAACACAGGTCAACTGTAAGAAACACTTTAAACATTTAATATTTATGGCATTCCTACATGATATGCAAATAAACACAGTACAGACTTTTGCCATGCCAGAAAATTTAATATTTATTCATTTGCAGGTCAAATAGATACAGTACAGAAGTCTCATTCTTGGATAAACAAGCATATATGAAACACAAAAAAAAATGAAATTTCCTAAAATACTACTATCATAGCCCTAACAGCAGAACAACTTGATAAAAAAGAGAAGAAATAAAAACACATTAAAATAGAGAAACCATAAACGTGTCTTTTTCAGAATGCAGAGAAGGCTCCAGTGGCCTTACATTAGGGGATAGCTGGCCATTGTCGCAATGCCACAGTGATTGTTTTTGTCTTTTGCCATGTAGATGTAGCCTTTGTCACCCCATTTGTCAGACCAGCTAAAAAATTGAAAGAAATAATTAAATATGAAAACCTGCAATCAAGCTTGTGCCCGCAAAACTAAAGATTGTTTGCATCATACCTGTTCTTCACAATCCAGTATCTATTCCCAGCAACATCAGCACCCTGATAACCATAGCCAACCACCAAGACTGCATGATCAAGTCGACTGGTACATGCTCTCTCATAATAGATGCCTAAAGATCAGAATATTAGAAAGGAGTTAAGGCACAGTAGGGTCAGTAATAAGTTTGTAATAATTTTAGCAAATATTGAATTAAAACTAGAGTTGAGGGATATCAGACACCTACCAGACTGATAGAACTGTAGGGATTGATGTGATGCGTCAATAGCAACAGATACAGGACCCACAGCAGCAACAGCATTCATTAGAGCAAGCTCATTACCTCTGGGAATGTCCACGAATCCGGTGATTTTAGCGACATTAAAACGGGGGTCATACCGGCATGGCAGATCATCCTGCAAGCACAAAGTTAAAATAAGAAAAAAGTGGTACATTGAAGTCTTAAAATACTTAATGACCTTCATTTAAAGAGTTTAAAAAACTAAAATGACATTTTTCCACAATCTGCAAATACAGCAGTTTATTCCCGTCTTCAAAAAAAATAAAAATGTTTCATTGCTCAGAAACTGTCACAATATGATTCTTACCCTTGCAAGATAAGGGTATGACTGCTCAGAATCCAGCCCCTTGTTTTCTTTAACATACTGGAAGGCCTGGTCCATGATGCCTCCATTACACCCTTGATTGCCCTGTGGTCTGGAACAGTCCACCAAGTTTTGCTCACTCATAGAAATCAGCTTTCCAGTTTTACGGAAGAGCTGACCTTCCAAGGCACCCGTTGAACTGAAAGACCAGCAAGATCCACATTGTTTCTAAAACCACAAAACAGAAGAGTCACCAAACAGTTAAGCTACAGATACACATACTGACATTTAATAGCCATTTATACATTAAACTGGGTTTACCAGATCAACTGTAAATAGATCAATTGTAATAGATGCAACTATAGGTCCTAATTTAGCATAAAACATTTGCAGTTTTCAGTGACTTTAAACTCACCTGGTCTTTGACAGGAGTAACATAGCCCCTCTGTCTCCAGTCAACCTGTTGTGGTGCTGCAAAAAAGCTGGGTTCCATGAACAATGCACCCTTTGACGTCCGGTTAGGGTCCTGCTTATAACCATTCATTGCCTGTCTGAACTCCTCATTTGTCTAATAAAGAGATTGTAGTGAAATGTTAAAACAGCCTTACAAATAGTACTTTAAAAGGTATCGATAGCACCGCAAATTGAGAATTAAAGTAATTTTGCTGAAAATCTTTTAGAGCACACAGGGCTTAAATCTCCAATCTAGGATGTTGTTGACTGTAATTGAATCATTTAATAAACACAACAACATTCTGATCTGGTTTCACACTTATGAATCTTGCATTTTAATTGCTTTTTTTCTCTTTTTGACAATTTGGATTGTATAAAGCAATATAGATAGTGAAATAAATGACTGTAATTGACTGTAATACTAAACTGCTCACCATGTCACCAAATTGATTCATTCCCATTTTAAAGGTGTGATTTCCTAAGGAATACTCAAAGTTGTGTTGCTCAATTTTTCTCAAGTTCTCCTCCCAAATCATTCTCCTCCCGACCTCTACGTCCTGGAGTAGAAAGTAGATACAGTATCAGCTATTGCAAAGCAACAGTTCAACATAAACACATGCACTGCATCATTCATTCATGTTAAGCTGATACATGGCTACAGACTACAGTCTTCCCACCTCATGATAGCTTTTTCCATGCTGGCTCTTCCAGGAGTTCCAGTGGTCGTCTAACTGGATGTCTATAGATGGAGCAGTGAACACTGCACTTATGCACAGCGTGATGAGCAAAGCAAACATCATCCTGCCAGGAAGACTAACAGAAAAAAAAAACACAATAATAGTAAAAATCTCTATTTAAAGCAAATGTAAAGAAAATTTACAAACATTAACAAAACACTTTAAACAGGCAACAGCACAAGCAGTTCACTTTACTGTGAGTTGAGCTAAATGTCACATTAATATAATACAAGCAATGTCTCCTATAAAGGAAAGGAGGGGGGGGGGAGAAAGATTTACACTTACCTTTCACAAGCAAACCTTGTTGACTGTAATTGCTTACAATTGAGTGTGTTTTATAGCCTGTCTGAACATAGAGACGGTCTCTCATTGGCTGACGTTGATGATGAAACTAGTCAATTTACAGCCAATCAGGTGCAGCAAGAGCTTCATCTTGTCATGTGATCCAGCATCACAAGATGAAGTATTCATCAATGGACTATGGTGATTCTTTATATTATTAGTAGACTGCAACAAGATTAAGGCAATCAGAAATGTTTTGTTATTTCCACAGTTTATAAAAATCAACATTTACAATACACAAGTGGAAAGCATACTAGAATATGCTTCACTTGATTGGGGGATGTGGAGATTTTTTTTAGGTTTGTTACATTCTGTTTGTTTCGTTTGTTTTAATCATTGTTTGTGTTTGTCACATAAGGGTGTGTTTGACAAATTCCACATGCTTAGACAGAAACTAATCCAAGAGAATAATGCAAGAGGAAACACAGAGTCCATTTAGAAAACTGAGTATTTTAAATAGCATCAGGGGCTTCTGTTTGTACTCACTTTAAATGCTAATTACACTGTAAAAAATTGTACGTGCTATTTACAAAAAAAAAAAAAAGTGTGGTAACACTATTGCACGTAATATATTTAGGTAGTTTGAAAACGTGATTTATTTAGCTAAAACCACTTGACTGAATCATGTGAAAATTACAAAATCTTTTGAGTGATAGATGATGATTTTAATATTATTAGTGGAATGTGATTTTATAATTTAAGCAAATCCACCACCATTTACTCACATTTATTTTTTTAGCAAAAACCACTTGAATGAATCATGTGAAAATGACTAGGTTTTTTTGAGTTATAGATGATGATTTCAATCTTATTAGTGGAATGTGCTTTTTATAATTTAAGCAAATCAACCACCATTTAGTCAAATGCATTAATGAAAATTACTCATTCATAAAATGTAAAATATATAGTTTATAATAAAATACATACACAATGCATTTTTGCTATCATTTTATTACATGTTCCACTGATAACAAAATGGTACAATTTGTTAAACAAATCTATTTAAAAGGTACAGCAATGTTAAGCTCTGAAAAAAGTTCTTTATCCATGTCATGGAAAAAAAAATTCTGTCAACTTTCTTTTGTAGGAAGTCACATTTTAGACAAACTCACTTTTAGACAGAATTTGTGAATTGGACAACATATAAGACCAGTATAAAAGCTCTATCTCAAAATATTAGCAGCACAATGAATTAATCAGTTGATGCAGTTTGTGTTAGAAACTTAAAAGTTTGTTTGTGGGGGACTTTAATTTGGGGAATACTTGTATAAATCCAGTTCAGCAATTCTAGATTTTCCAAGCTAGCCATGACTCGCTCATCCTCCAAGACAATGCAGAAATCCTTATCGTAGGTCATTCCTCAGACAGCAATCCTCTGTGCAGTCTCACACTGTAAAATAAACATTGTTTATTATTGTGAAATTATGCAATTGTAAATTTCAAATGTTTAAAGTTTACTAAAACAAATTAAGGAAATACATTAAGGAAATAAACCCTTTCTTTGTATCTCTGTGAACATTAATTCTTCAAAATGTTTGAGTAGACATTGCTGACTGATACTATAACACAAGTACACAAGTATTTTGACTTATAATGGACAAGGTGTTTTCAAAATGCATACTAGTGTACAAATAAATAAATATAACCAAGTTTATACAAGGAATAGTGCATTCAACAATGTAGTGACTGAGCTATATATATATATATATATTTTTTTTTTTTTTTTTTTTTGTAAAAATGCAAAAATATAAAATGCAGTTTTTTGAAAATCACAAAAATCTGAATCAGTCTAAGACACTTACATTGCACTGGATGAGCTGCTCCCCTTTTTTTACAAATAGACCAGCAACAGAGGACAACTTCTCTCGTCTTATCCCTGATTTAATGTGAGGTCTGATGCAACAAAAATTAAGAGATTAGTAATATTGCCTAAAATAATAATAATAATAATAATAATAATAATAATAATAATAATAATAATACACTAATAATAACATTATAAAAATTACCTGCTGTTGCGCGCGTACTGAAGAGCGGTGTTGTCGCGCGTGTTCTGATCAGCTGTGTTGTCGCGCGCGTACTCAAGAGCGGTGTTGTCGCGCGCGTACTCAGACCGGTGTTGTCGCGCGCCTACTGAAGAGCGGGACCGAGGGTGTGCCGCGTCGCGGGGGCACTTTTGATCATTTTGGAAGGGCACTTTCTATACAAAACTAAAAAGGACATGTGCACTGCACAGGTTGAGCCCTATGTGTGCACGTGCCTGCTGTGCATAAACCCCATTGAATGGCTATAGCTTACATAGCTTAGCTTAGGCTAACCAACAAGATAACTGTTATTCGTCCACCTGCTTAAATGTTGCCTGATCGCTGGTGTTAAATATTACAATGCACATAATTTGTTCAGTTTCAATATACAATTCAGAATGAACATTAAAGCAAATCAATTTTAAATAGGAATGAGTGGTTAAAAATACCTGTGTATCCCTATATACATCGTAGCCTATGGCAGAAACTAGGCTCCCGAACAAGCTTGAACACCAGTGTCTTTCCTGAAAGAGCTTATATAAGATAATAAAAATGAAAAACTGTTAAGGCTTACCTCTTAGCATGCTTACAGTTGATCTGCTTCTTCAAAATGTCGTCTGGTCACTGCCCTCGTTGAGATTCAAATGCAAACATCTCAATCAAATCTGCATAATTGAGTAAATTTTCTTAAAATAAAGGTGAATCTATCTTTCCTCAATTTTATTAGCTTAACTGGTTTCTCAAAGTAAGCCTAATAATTGCTCTGGTTTGCTTAAAAAAATAAGTGAAATTTATCTCTTGATTTTATTAGCAAAATCTTCTTAATACTTTATAATTCATCCAGAATATAAATGTTTTAAAGAAAATATGTACTCACACTATGAACAGTTGCCTTGAACTGGGCCAAAGCACGCTTGTCCCTCCTCCCGTCTTCCCCGACGGCCCGCATTCACATTGCATTCGGGCCTGGGCGCGCTTACGTCATCGATGATGTGCTGTTTAGTAGAGAAGCGCTCTTGCTCAGCACAGTGGAGATTTCCTCCGTTATATCATTTAAGTCGTTTGATATGCAGTGACGCAGTCAAACATTTTGCCGAACAGATCAGTGAGAGGTTAATGTCTTTAATAAAGTATGACAGTTTGCATTCATTAAACAATAAGAATGATTACTTAATCCATATCAAACTGTCCCTTAAACGTCAAGCTCGCTTTCAGTTTCGGACTCAGGCACATTTTGCACTCACACACAAGCATAGCGCGCCAAAGCCCAAGTGAGCCCAATTCAGAGCACACACTTCCCAAAAGATCCAGGAAACGGGCTTGGGCATGGTTCGGATAGCATAGTGTGAGTACGCCCTTAAGAATTTTTGTGTTTGCCCTACAGTGATAATTGTCTAATTACCGTTTTATCTTTTATTAATCTTTTTTAAACATAAAGCAGTAAATAAATAAAAGTAATAAGCTGGTTACTCACTAAACATTTTGAAGCAAAACCAGACATTAATACAAAACACAACATAATTAGATGTTATACTTTCAAGCTAATAAAATGAGTGGTAAAGGCTGGGAGATAGTTGCTGTTAAGTTACAGAACTTTGCTGAGTGAACTTAAAATTTATCAGATTGTTTTTATTTCAAATCATATTTCTAACACAATCTGATTTTATTAATTATAAACTGGAATTTTAGATTATTTCCCATCCTTTTAACATCCTCATGAACTCATGATTTCAGCACTGAATCTATTCTGACATTAAAGTTTATTTTTAAGTTTTATCCCCACCTCAAATAAAGAAAATAGCTCAGTTGTTATAAATATATATATATATAGTTTCTGATATGCTTAACTATACTCTTGGCATCTATTGAGTCAGTACAGGACCACAGACACCCACATCTCCATCTCATCACACTCTTCATCGCCCAAAACAAATGCTGTCCAGGAAATGTGGAAGTTTTCTTTAAATTTGTTTTGCGGTATCAAATCCCATTAAAACAACTGTTTCCCATCAGTCCTTGCTTCATAATCATCCCTCAAAGTTAGTCGTGAGGAAATTGAGGAAATGTGGCTGAATGAAAGTGAAACTGCTGAACTGCAGTTGAAGTCAAAAACCTAAAAATTAAACCGCCAAAATTACTTGAAACTCTGGAGCATACCGTGGTGATATGAAGACATTAATCGATTTATTTACTATGTTTAAAATGAGAACATGAAAGAAACATTCTAAAAGCAACTCATCTAAAAACATTAATTGCCTTATTCAGATTAGGGTAAATAATTTGATAACATCTCAGACATACCACAGATTTTTTTATTTATTTATTTATTTTTTTGCTTTTGGTCACAAAGAATAACAAGTTATTAAACTTTTTTATCAGGGTCCCACCCTGACAATCTTGTCTTTTCTATCAGTCTGTACAGTCAATATTGTCTTTGTTTAATGGCTCTGGATTTGTTTTGTGCCTGAGCACATGGCTTTGTCTTTATTTGTGTTGGCCACGTGCTCCTCTTATCCTCTTATGTGCCTCCTTGTGTCTTGTTATTACACCCTCTTGTTTAGATTGTCAAAAGCCACAGTCACACTACACTTTATCGCCCCATAGACTTCCATTCATACACATGCAAATGCGGGAGACCATAAGCACAAACTTGTACACATTTAATATTCAGTACTGAGAGTCCAAACACTGAGGAGCAAATCCATCTATGCGCAGCTCTACGGGTCCCAACTATGCAAGCCAGTGGCAACAGCAGTGAGGAAATAAACTTCACTGAAACACACGAATAGTGCCACAGGATGTCTATTCACAGCTTAGTATTAATTTAACATGTAAATCACATGTGCTTGATGCTTCATCCGTGTCAGGTTTGAGCACACCATAAGAACTGTGTTGCAGCTGGATGGACATCTCTTTTATAAAACATATGCCAGACTTGGTGGTTCATTACTTGTATCAGTCCATAATATACTTAGAGACATTTTTGTAAAAGGGCATCTATCAAGCAAAAACTATTTTTGGAAGCTGTTTGGCAAACATGTGTGTAGGTATAGGCAAGGCAAGGCAAGTTTATTTATATAGCACATTTCATACACAGTGGAAATTCAAAGTGCTTTACATAAACTGGAATAAAAAAACATAATAGTGCAATCTGTCAGATGTAGCACAGTGCTCATTCAGTAAAGGCACAGCTAAACAGATGTGTTTTCAGTCTTGATTTGAATGTGCCTACTGTTGGAGCACATCTGATCATTTTTGGAAGCTGATTCCAGCAGCGAGGGGCATAGTGGCTGAAGGCTGATTCACCCTGCTTTGACTGAACTCTTGGAATTTCTAGTTTATTTGATCCTAGAGATCTGAGTGATCTGTTAGGTTTGTATTCAGTAAGTATATCTGTTATGTATTGAGGTCCTAGGCCATTTAGTGATTTATAGACCAGTAGTAATACTATAAAATCTATTCTGAATGTAACTGGGAGCCAGTGTAAAGACCTGAATACCGGTGTGATGTGCTCTGATTTCCTGGTTCTGGTCAGAATCCTGGCAGCAGCGTTCTGGATGAGCTGTAACCGTCTGACTGTCTTTTTGGGAAGGCCAGTGAGGAAGCCGTTACAGTAATCCACCCTACTGCTGATAAAAACATGAACATGTTTCTCTAAGTCTTCACTGGAAACAAAGCATCTGATTTTTGCAACGTTTTTGAGATGATAGTATGCTGATTTACTAAGATCTGACTCCAGAGTCACACCAACATTCTTGACCTTATTTTTTGTTGTTTGACCTTTAGTGCCAAGGTACACATTCACCTTGAGAACCTCATCTCTCTTCCCAAACGCAATGACTTCAGTTTTCTCTTTGTTTAACAGAAGAAAGTTTTGGCACGTCCAACTGTTAATTTCATCAGTGCATTGTTAGAGGATATCAATGGGGCTGTAGTCATTAGGCAGTAAGGCTAGGTAGATCTGAGTGTCATCAGCATATCTGTGGTAGGAGATTTGTTTTTTTCTCATTATTTGGCTCAGAAGGAGCATGTAATGGTTGAACAGGAGAGGTACCAGAATCAAGCCTTGTGGGACTCCACATGTCATGGGTGTCCACCTCAACCTATGGTTACCTATACTGACATGGTAACCTCTCCCTTCAAGGTAAGATCTGAACCATTCGAGGACCATGCCAGACAGCAGTGAGTCCACAATCATATTGGTGTGATGTAGGTGTTATTGCATATAAACAAGACAGGATATGCAAAGAAATCAGGGTTAAAAGATCTGTTCAAACTCTCTGTGATCCAACTGCACTTCAGGAAGCAGTAAGTGATACACTGCATTTTCATAGTATAATGAACTACACAGTTCATAACCACTGGAATCACCACAGCTGCAGTGTGCACAACTAAAAATGAGGATGCATCAATCACACAACAGGAGTCCCAGTTTGTGGTCTTTAAATCAGGTAGATTTTATACAGTAACTTGCCTATAATAAATCTATTTACAGCAGAATATTTACCAGTTTGGTGGGTATCTTGTCAGATTTGAGGAAGGTCATTGAAATATGAATCTAAATTGCTGGAAAATTACTAAAAACATGCTGAAAAAAGTGAGGAAAATTAACATAACCAAACTCGTTTTAGGATACTGGTTATAACCATCAACCATCATCTGGCCTTTAACACTGATTTTATTAGCCTGAAAGATTAATGATAGCATCTAATTATTTTGTGTTTTGTATTTGTCTGATTTTGCTTAAAAAAATGTTTAGTAAGTGACTTGTTAGTTTTATTTATTTACTGCTTGATGTTTAAATAAAGATGAATAAAAGATAAAATAATAATTAAACAATTTGTCACCTTAGAATTATAAGGTTCTATCTGACATTTTTGTCAAAATTGAGTTATTGACATATTCGTATTAAATGACAACATATTTACATTATGGGATATTTCTTTATAAGTTGTTTACATTTTAAGACTTTTTATTAAAAAAAAAAAAAAAAGTTACACACACTGTTTGCTATGGAATGCAATAACTTTGAAGCTCAATATTTCAAA